AATTAATATTTATATAATTAATATTTTATATTATAATATTGTATTATATATAATTTATCTAATACGATTTGAATTACATCCGGATAAATTCATCTTCGAAATATCTTATTCGATTTTCTTGAAAGATAAAAGAAATGTTTAAACGTGTATTATGATCTCGATTGGCCGATATTATTATTATTATTATTTTTATTATTATTATTCGTGTATTCTTTCGCGTAAAAGGATGAGAGAGAAAGAAATAAATCTCGGAGGGATGTCCGCCGATTGGCTGGCCCTCGAGGCACAGACGGACGGATAAGACTATTATCTACGGGAAATGTCGAGCTGCTGCAATTTCCGTTCTACAGTCTAGAATCGAGAGTCTCGATTGACTCTGGTAGTCTCGATGTAATACTCTCTATCTCTTTCTATATATATATATATATACATAACTGTTTATTTATCTCCCTTTTTAATCGTTACGTGATATATAATCGTATAAATAAGGGATGGAAACCCTAAAACTTTTCATTGCTAAGTCAAAAGTTTTCTTAAAAGTCAAATTATCAAATATTGCAAGCCCTTATACAACATAATTATAATCCTTAATTTATTACAATTATAAAAAAATTATAAAAATCATTCTCTCATTGTGAATATCGTAGACACATTTATTATAACACTGCGATCGTTCTCCTTATATATAGGTTTCGTGCATTTTATCTTATTTTATTTTAGTTTATTTATTTTTTAGCAATGGCTGGACCCCAGCAAGAAGATCGGCAAACAATTGAAAGTCCAAAAAGGTGATCCAACCTCGGATGTTCATACATTGTATTTCGGTGTTAAATTTTATGCAGCTGATCCGTGCAAACTCATCGAGGAAATAACAAGGTATAAAAATATATATATATATATATATTTCTAAATGAATCATTTTTTTTCAATTTTCAATTTAATTATATAACTTTATATCATATTTCAATCGTATATCGTGTGTTACATTCAAACAATTTCGTTCTTATTTTTGAAAAATAATAATTCCTATTTATATATGCGAATAATTTGATATTTATTTCTTCTTTTCGTATTTGGCAAAGAACAAAAATCGGCATAACGTTTGACATTCGATTATACGACTATTTCTTTTTATCCCCCCCCCCTCCCACACTACTATCCCACTCATCTCAATTTTTTTTCTTTCTTTTCCTTTCTTTTTATCATTTGAACGAAGTAACATTTCCGTACAGTACGTAGAGGAGAGTAACATTCGTCACAACGAGTGCTATTACCAGCACAAAAATGCAGTTTCTCTGCTATTGCAATCTACAGTACAGTTCCCCCATCCATCCCCCATGTCCCCATACAAGCATTTGTTCAAGTATATATGCGTGTATATGTGTGTCCTGTAATCTTTCAATCAGTCTCGACAACACTAATGGAGTCTCTAGCTTTATATATATATATATGTGTGTGTGTATGTGTGTGTCGTATGATTCTCTTTCTCCCTCTTACCACCCTATTCTCTGTCTCTCTCATACATATACACACACGTCCATACACATATATACGAGTGATATCAGACTCAGTTGGATGACTATACCCTTCTCTCGTTATCCTAATGAGTCAGATTCCAAATTCTACACGTAGAGTGAACTCGTTTGAAAATTTCTTTTCGTCGTCGTTGTTAGTAAAAGTACCAGAAGAAGAAGAAGAAGAAGAAAAAGAAGAAGAAGAAGAAGAGAGATGGAATGGATTGAAATTTAATATCCACCCCCACCTTTTCCCTTATCCCCTTTTCTCCTCATCTTTCTCTTTCGTTGCATTCTTTTCCAGCAAATGACATTTCCTTAACTCCTATGTACGTGTGCATGTATATATATATGTATTTAAATTTACTTATATATTTCGAGGATCTTTTTAGAAATTCTTCTACGGTTCTTGACTTCGATACTTGTCTCTCGTACAAAAGTAAAACTCGAGACGTGAAAGTGATATTTTTTATATATATAAAGTATCTTATTATCTATTGTGTCGTTAGGTATATTAATAAGGTGTCTATATATATATATATATATACTTTTTTTAATGATATCACTCTCTATTATCGCCTTTTCAATTTTAATTAATTTTTTCTTAGTGTTATAGGTGATATAATTACTTTGTTGAATATTTATATATTAATTTAACAAGGAATAACAATAATTTGTGCAATTGTTATTATTAATATAAATAAATAATCCGTTAATTACTGCTAGGAAAAAAAAATAAAACGATTAAATAAATGAACATAATATTATATATATATATATGAATAAAAATCTTCGTAAAACGACAAATTAAACGTCGGTTAGTATAATATTTTGTTATAAAATAAGAAAGAAAAAAAGAAAATAATTATTAATATCAATGAGAAAATAAAAAAAAAAAAAATTCCATACCTAAACCAGGTTCTCTCTCTCTCTCTCTCTCTCTCATTTTTTTTCATAAACACACACGTATTACGAAGGTTTGAAAATCACGACTCATTATTGCACACGACAAGCCTCTCTTCTATTACGTGCCATGTGAGATTTAACTTTAATTATGCGTCGACATTCCAACCCCCATACGAGTTGTACGCGTGAGATATAACTTTAATTATGACGCGGAGCTTTCCTACCTATAAATGGAAAGGACTTGGTAAACACCAACAACACCAACACCACTACAACTACCACTACTACTACCATTACCACCGCAACAACTACAATTAACAGCCATTAATGGTACAACTTTCTCACCCTTTTTCTCAAGGGAGAATAGGTATAATGTATGTGTGTGTGTATGTATGAATATGTGAGCAGAAAGGGGGAAATACAAAAAGGGTGCGTGGAAGCATGCAATAGTCTGTCATCGATGAACCACAGCTCGATTGATTTTTTGTGTCCTTTGGGGGAGGAAGAAAAAAAAAATAATAAAAAATTCTGCTTATATGTGCACGAGCAAGATGAAAATAAAAAGTGACGGTTAGAAAGAGAGAGAAAGAGAGAATTATAATGAAAATACGAAGATACGAAGATACAAAAAAAAAATCAAGTTGGGTAGGAAAGGAAAGAAAAATAAGAAGAAGGGGGGAGGAAGAGGGATGGATAACGTGAAAATGAATGAGAACACACATGAATCAAAAGAAAAAAAATGTTCTGAAGATAAAAGAAGAAGAAGAAGAAAAATAAAACATTAAACTGAATGTTTAACTGACATGATACTAACAAAGATGGAATATATGAAAACGAAAGAGGGAGAGAAAAAGAGGGAAAATTCTTTCAAGCTAACAGCACTTTAATCTCAGAACCGAACATCGGAGCCATGGAATTCATAAAAGTCGACGTAGGTGTATCAACCAATCCCTTCTCCCCCCCTCCCCCCAATTCTCCCTTATTACCACCACCATCACATTCGTCACGTCGTGCTCTCATTTTCTCTATCTCTCTCTCTCTCTCTTTTAACGATAAGTTTCAGGGTTCTGGCTAAGATAAAGAGGATTCCTTTTTCCCTTAGGCGATGCCAGGTGTACGTAACTTTTCTTTAGGTACCAAGAGGTAGAACGATATTGATTGCATGTAACTCTTTTCTCAATAGTTTTCTATCACATGTGACTGAGTGACTAATGTGTGTGTGTGTGAGAGAGAAAAAAAGAATGATAGAAATGTTTCTTCTATACCCAGTTTTTCTTCTTTTTATATAAATGTTACTAGCAATGTATTTAATATGAAAAACTAGCATTATATATTAGGTTTACCGGAAAGTTCTGTCCGTTTTTTGAATTGATAGAAAATAACAAAATATTTTCATACATTTAATAATATTTATTGTAGAATATTTTGTCCATCGTTACTTATGACTTCTTGCCAGCGTGATAGCAACTTTTAAATGCCATTTTTTTTTTTAAATGCCATTTTTTTTTTACAGGCGAAAAACTCAACTCAATTAGTGAAACTTAGAGAGAAAAAATCGGACAAAACTTTCCGATAAATTTAATATAATACCTAAGTCATTTTATATAATGCCAAATTTGAAACTTTGCCGGTAACATAAATATACGAAGAAGATGCTTGAGTCTGTGGATTTTTTTCTTTATTTTTTTCTGTTTACTTTTTTCGTTCAATCCTTCTCAAGTTATATTCGAGATCCTTATGTGTTAGTTTACTATAATCTCATCTTTCTAGATATTATTTCTTAGCTGAATCTAAAAGATATCTTTTTCTTCTTCTTCTTCTTCTTTTTCTTATTTTGTTAACGTTTTCTCTAGAGATTTATAATAAGAAGAAGAAAAAGAAGAAATATCTATCTCTTGGTTGGTTACATGAAAGAGGATATCTCACGCGTGTTACTTATTTTTTCTCTTTCTAAAGTAAAAGATCAAATAGAAAAAAGAAATATGTATCTTGTATTATATCGAGACAAAATAAAATTATTTAATTTTGTTTATTGAAATAAAATGAATTGGTTGAGATTTGCTATCTTCCATTTGAAATAAACAAAAATATTTGTATTTAATTGATTAAAAAATCAAAATCAAAGAAAAAAAAATAGAAGAACGCGAATATGAATATACTTTGGGAATCGATAGAAATGACAATGATGCTTTTTTTTGTTTTTTCTTTTTTGAATTTCTAATACATTCTAAATGAAATCGTACGCTTGAAATGGTCACAGGAATTGCGAGAAGGGTTGCTGCAACGATAATAGAATAAAACTTGCCATACAATCGTGAGAAAAAAAATTGAAAAAATAAATAAAAAGCTCAAAGAGCAAAGGAGTAAACAAAAGGGAAAATTTAAAAAAAGAAAAAAGAAAAAAAGATCGGACAAACTCAATCTATATGCTAATACACAAACTGATCTTTTATTCTCGAGTATGAGCAATCGATCGAATAACTGGGAGAATAACGGGATATACGATATATGAGAGAATAATTCGTTTATCCTACTAACATTATTTAATATCATCTAGTTTGTATTGTATTTTTGTTATTTCAATTAAAACAATTCGCCATAGAGAAAATAATCATAAAATTATTATTTTTAATTATATTATAATTT